TTGTTACTTCAGCCAGGTGATCATAGTTAACATCAATGGTGATAAAGCATGTTTTACAGTGTATTTGCCCTTGATATGGTGTAATGAGAATGTCATTCTATCTCTGAGACATTCTTCTTAAAACCCATCAGTTAAGCATAGATAACTCACACCTATTCAGGAAGCTGAGATCAGGAGGATCTCAGATCTCAGTTCAAAGCTAGCCCAGCTATAACATTCAAGAGATTGCTTCTCAAGCATTAAAAAGCTGGGTTCAGCCAGGCACTGGTGGCTCATGCCTGTAATCCTAGTTACTCAGGAGGCTGAGATCTGAGGATGGCAGTTCAAAGCCAACCTGGGCAGAAAAGTCTGTGAGACGCTTACCTCTAATCAACTACTCTGAAAAAGCCAGAAGTGGCACCGTGGTTCAAGTGGTAGAATACTAACTGTGAACAAAAGAACCTCAGGGACAGCACCCAGGCCCTGAGTTCAAGCCCCAGGACTGGCAAAAAATAATAAATAAATAAATAAGCTGGGTTCAGTGGCATGTGCCCGACATCACAGCTACATGGGAGTCTAAGACTGGAAAGATCAACGTTCCAAGACAGCCCCAGCTAAACTAAAAAAAAGTTTATCTCAGTGGTAGTGATTGTAATGTTGCACACTTATCATCCCAGCCACTGGGGAAGCACAAATGAGAGGACTGCAGTCCAGATGTAGTCTTGGGCAAAAATAGAGACCCTATCTAGCTAGACCCAAAAAGGCACTGGAGGAGACAAGGTTCAGTTGTAAAGTACCAGTCTAATAAGCACAAGGCCTAAGTTAAACTCCAATACATCATGAGGAACAACAACAAAATCCTATTCAATGAGAAAGATATCAGACAAATTCCTATAGAGAAGCTTTCTACAAAATACTTAAGGCTAGGTCAAGATCATCAAAAATAAGAAAAATCTGAGAAATTGTCACACCCAACAGAAATCTAAACAAATACAACAACTGAATGTAAGTGGGATTCTAGAGGGGATCTTAGTGCAGATAAAATAAGGCAAAATCTAAAGAAACTTGAAAAAGTATGCACTTTAGTGAATGTTAATATATCAAAATTGGTTAATTATGAGAAATATAATGCTAATATAAAGCGGGGCACCAGTGGCTCACACCTATAATCCTAGTTATTCAGGAGGCTGAGATCTGAAGATCACAGTTCAAAGCCAGCCCAGGCAGGAAAGTCCTGTGAGACTCTTATCTCCAATTAACTACCAGAAAACCGGAAGTAGCGCTGTGGCTCAAAGTGGTAGAGCACTAACTTTGAACAGAATAGCTGACAGACAGCGCCCAGGCCCCAAGGTCAATTCCCATGACTGACAAAGAAAAAAATAATAATAGTACTAGTGTAAAATGTTAATATATTAATGTAAGATGCTAACAATGGAGAAAATGATTGGGAGTTTGAGGTATGAGAGAATTCCATACTATTTTTGCAGTTTTTCCTATGAGTCTAAGACTTCTACAATTCAAAGTTTATTTTAAAAGAGTAAATGGGTACTTTCAAATAATCTACTCACTCATGTGATTAAGATTCACAAGGATCAATTACTTTACAATTGCTAGGAAGTAAATAACACTGTAGATGTATAGAGAACTTTTATTAAAACTGGAAAGACAAACTTCAAAAAATGTAAGGAATGTCTCAGTTTGCCTTCATTAGTTATCATCACCCCAAGAAAGCAGCAGTTGAAACTAAACCATGAATCTAGACATAATAACTGACATTGGATGGATCTGACTCATTGAATGCTTATGCTATACAAGTAAAATTAACAATGACTAAAACTGAAATTACTGACAAAGGTTGCTCCTGGACCATCTGAGATATTCTAAATACTGACTCGGCTCAAAGGAAATAAAACTGAAAACCCTTGATGTCACCCAAAATAACTATTCTGCACCCTATCTGAACTTAGGGCTCTCTACCTAGCAGCCTACTCAAAACCACTACTGAGGTTGAGGTCCCAGTGCTAAGAAATAGATAATACATAAGAACTTTCAGCGGGGTGCCGGTGGCTCTCGCTTGTAATCCTAGCTCCTCAGGAGGCTGAGATCTGAGGATCACGGTTCAAAGCCAGCTTGGGCAGGAAAATCCATGAGACTCTTATCTCCAATAAACCACTCAGTAAATCGAAGTTGCGCTGTGGCTCAGGTGATAGAGTGCTAGCCTTGAGCTGAAGAGCTGAGGGGCAGCGCCCAGGCCCAGAGTTCAAGTCCCACAACTGATACACACACAAAAAGAACTGTCAGGCTACCAAATTACTAGCCTGAAGAAGCAACCAGGAAAGACACGACATGATCTCTTGCAGACCTCCAGATGCACTCAGCATGCACCCCAGGGGAAAAAGCAGATGTTGAGGTCTTCTGGCCTTTCAGTTAGGCTCATTTTCTAAAGCAAATAAATTTACATGGAGACAAGGGGCGAGATGTCTCCACCATCACCGCATACTCCAAGCTGGAAAATATCCAGTATTCTCTTGTGTGGGGTTGGAGGACGAGGTGAGCTCTTTGGGGTCTTGGTTTTGTAGATAGAAGGATGCACTTGGGTCAACACTGAATGTGAGTTTGCAATCGGTTGGGCACAGTTTCAGAGTTCAAGACAAGAAACACATAGAGAATTCCTAGGCAAAATTCTCACTGGCTTTTCCTTTCCTCAAATCTTTAGGTGATGCATCCTCTAGCCACCCAAAGCCATCATCGTTCTTCTGGAGACTCACAATGGGGAAACACTAGGTTCCACTACTCTTCTCCCCTTCAGTGCAGCTCACGGAGGCCCGCCTCGACAAGCGCGGGAAAAGTGACACCAGACACGAAGCTCCCAGGGTGCCTGAAACAGGCGCGCATGCGCCAGAGGGGCGGAGCTCTCCTCCCACGCGTTCGCCCCACCCCTCCTGCACGCGGAGCGGGAGCACGCGCGCACGCGCTCTGTGGCGAGCCCGCCTCAGCGGTAGCCACGGAAGAACGGGTAGGGGAGAGCACCCTTGGCGGTTTGCTCCGCTCTGTGGAGGAGCGATGGGGAGGCGTTGGGCTAGGGCTGAGGTAGGAAGGAGCCCAGCCGTCGACGCATCCCGCGCCCTTAGCCCCTGAGCCGTGATGCGAACGTGGGTCCTACTCATCGCGGCGCTCTGGTCCCTCGTAAGAGGTGGGGCTGGTCCCCTCGGCCCGCCCCAGGTTCCCTGTCCTGCGGCCTTCTCTCGGGTCCGCTCCGTCCCGCCTCCTCTTCTAACCAAAATGTCCATGGTTTCTTTCCTCTGCAGTCGGACCGCAACGTTCTTCTTTGCTCAATAAGAAAGGCTTTGTTTATGGCACGGTAGGACACCCAGGTAATGAGACCTCTTCACCCCGCACGGCCTAGCTGGGGGTGGGGTGGGGTGCTGGGATCCGAGCAGGCCTGCCCTGGGCATCCACTCTCTCCTGGCCATCTACTCTCTCCTGGTCATCTACTCTGCCCCAGTTATCTCTTCTGAGCATCTATACTCTGTCCTGGGCATCTGCTCTACTCTGCACTTGGGGAAGGTTGCAGGACTCTTAGCAGCAACACTAGCCTTAACTAATGTCACGTTGCCTAGAGCTACACAATTTAGGGAGCCCAGATTCAACGTAAACCTCTTGCCCTGATGTCCCCCTCATTTCCAGAAGTGATGCTGTTTTGCAACTTTTTTTTTTTGCCCCTGGTCCCGGGGTTATTTCGGGGCCCCGCTGGTTACTGCAGTGTGAACTCAGGGCCTGAGCACTCAAGGCTAGTACTCTACCACTTTGAGCCACAGCGCCACTTCTGGCTGTTTTACTGGTTACTTAGAGCGAAGAGTCTCTCGGACTTACGGCTCAGGCTGGCTTCAAACCACCCTCCTCATATCTCAGCTTTCTGAGTAGGATTATAGGGCTGAGCCACCAAACGGTTTGGTATCCACTCAAGGAGTGATTGTCTGTTAGAAAGGCTCTTATCTCTCCCTGTATTTGCAGAATCTACTAACTAGAGCTACACACCTGCTGAGGTAGAGCTCAAATGTTATTCACTATATTACAACTTTCCCATACTCCTCTAGCAAAGTAAATCACCTGGCTACTTTTAAGTGACTCTGAGCTACTTCCTGATATTCGTTATGTTTGGAACCTCTTTATATTTGAATCTTATCTCCCTTTTCAGTGCCATTACTATACCAACAAGTTGGTGAATAGTATCTTTATGTATTCACAGCCTGGCACTCAAGAGGCTTTAAAATTATCTTGTGGAACTACACCGGTTCCAAGCATACTATGACTGTTTCCACCAAATCTGAATCCCAATAATTAATAGCAGAACACTTTTTTTTGGGGGGGGGGCCTGGGGCTTGAACTCAAGACCTGGACTCTGTCCCTGAGCCTCTCTGTGTTCAAGGCTAGCACTCTACCTCTTGAGCCACATTACCACTTCCAGCTTTTTCTGTTTATGTGGTACTGAGGAATCAAACCCAGGGCTTCATGCATGCCTAAGCAAGCTCTACCACTAAACCACATCCCTAGCCCTGCAGAACACTTTCCTAGCATATTCCACATAGGCTTAATTACTGTTGCCAACAAAGGGAATGTACAGTGTTGGAAGCCAGGTCGAGAATTATCCCCTAGTACCCCTTAGGGATAATGATTATATTTAAAATAGTAATCAGAAATCTTTCTATGGTCTTTGATTCCAGTATCTCTTCAAAATATATGATGAATTCCAAATCTGTACGTTAGTCTACTAAGTGTGTCATGTACATTTTACCTACGCTATGTGAAAAGACTATAAATGAGAGTAATGAGAAGGAGACTTTGCTAGTCATTCTAAATGAGGGCTAGCAAAATGTCCAAATGTCATAATTCTTTAATGAAATCCAAAACTAGTACTCTTGGGACAAAATAATACAGTGTATTTCTTGATTTTTCTATGTAACTTAGTTACACATTATTTTACCATAGTGAAAATATATGTAAAATTACGTCAGAATAGCCCATTCCTCATCTGTATGGATTTTGGTCGTGCTAGTAAAGAAACAGTGGACCCCACCTACTTATGGATTGGGCCTAATGAAAAAGCATTAACAGGTAAATTACTTGACATTCTTTTTCTTTGGTTTTTGTGTGTGTGTGTATGTGTGTATGTGTTTTGAGGCAGGATCTTGATATTGTAGCCCAGAGTAACTTAGAACTCCACCTGGAACTTGAAATCCTGCCTCTGCCTTTCAAGTGCTGTCATGTAACACCATATTCAGAAATTTATTTTGTTTGCTTTTGGTTTTGTTTTGTTGTCGGTTGTGGGGCTTGAACTCTGGGCCTGGGCACTGTCCCTCAGCTCTTCAGCTCAAGGAGAGCACTCTGCCACTTCAGTTTTCTGGTGGTTAATTGGAGATAAGATCTCATGGACTTTTCTGCCCGGGTTGGCTTTGAGCCATGATCCTCAGATTTCAGCCTCCTGAGTACCTAGGATTACAGGCATGAGCCACCGGCGCCCAGCCAGAAAATTATTTTAATATGTTCTTTTAAAAAGATAGTATAAACACTGTTTTACAAAAAGTCATTTTTGAAAGGAAGAAATTAAATTTTTAACTATGATTTTTATTATTCCACACTTAAATTTTATATCTTAGTTTGTGCTTTGTGCACTACTTAAGCAAACACTGGAGCAGTGCTTTTTATGTGATTTAATTTCAATAGTGAAGATTGAACCAAAGCTTGTGGTAGGCAAGTGCTCTACCACTGAGCTACACACCTACTCCTAAAGCAGTCATGTTTGTATCCTGCTTCCCAGAGCTGTATTATTTTAGACTTTTGTGAAGAGAGGTATTGAGATTTGAACTCAAGGCCTCACGTTTGCCACACCTCCAGTGCCCCCCTTTTTTGCACTGATTATTCTGAAATAGGGTCTCACTTTTTGACCAGGCCTTGATCAAGATACTGCTATTTTAGGCTTCTTGTCATAGCTAGAATAACAGACATGAAGCACTGTGCCCAGCTCAGAAATTTTTATAAAACTTAAAAATTTGGGCTGGCATGGTGGCTCAGTGGTAGAGTGCTTGCCTTGCATGCATGAGGCCTTGGGTTCGATTCCTCAGCACACATAAGCAAAAAGAAAAAACGCCGGAAGTGGCGCTGTGGCTCAAATGGTAGAGCACTAGCCTTGAGCTGAAGAGCTGAGGGACAGGGCCGGAGCCCAGAGTTCAGGCCCCACAACCGGACCCAAAAAACAAAACAAAACAAAAAACTTAAAAATTTATCCAATAATATGAAATATTTAATATAGAATTTTTCATGGTATCAGAAGACTGCCTTGGGTTATGAGCATTATTGATTTCTGTGAAGAAATATTGTTTACTGAGCTTATTGTCATAAACAACTTAAAACTAAGAGGCAAGAAATGATTGAAAGAAAACTAATGTATATAAATTTCAAAAGCTTATCTTGTAATTTTTCATAGAGTAAGATGATAGAATGAATATTTTGTTTGATTCCTGAGAACATATTTTTTTCAAAATTGGTATTTATTTGTAACCCCAAGTTTACTGAGTAATGCTTGAATTATTATTTGTTAAACCATATAATTTACTACTTCCATTTAGGAAATAATCGAATAAGTGTAACAAACACAGGACAGCTGATGGTGAAAGATTTTCTAGAAGCTTTGTCTGGACTTTACACATGTACTCTTTCTTATAAGACTATCAAAGCAGAAACTCAAGAAGAAACTATTATAAAGAAGCGATATGATTTTATGATCTTTGGTAAGAATACAGGAATATCTTAATTTACACGTTTAGCCTCAGTCAGAGTTAAGTATAAGGTTTCTTCCTTTAGTAAAAAATGGGTCTATTATAGGTAATTACTATGACATAAGTTTTTTGTCTAGGCAAACACTTAACATCAAGATAAATGCATCTTGAATATCCTTTTTTCAAGTTTCCACTTCCCACTGCGTATGTATATAAACACAAACTATCGCAATTCTGACAGGTAATTTAAAACTGTTACAAAATCAAATTAATGATCCTTTCACTTGTGTGAGCTGACAGTAGTAACACTTTCTGCGAATTAAGAGCTCCCGCCAAAACATTCATAGTTTATTCTTGATACTGTTAACTTATCTGTATAACCAATCTGTAGAATCATTTTTCCTCCTCTAAGTAAATAATATTTCAAATGAAAATAACATTATTCTTTAAGTTTTGAAAATACATTTTATGAATACAACTTGATAAACCATTTATTAAATAAGTTCATGCTGATTTGCAAGATTAATGAGATTTAATATTACATGGTTTGGGTTTTTTAATTGTTTGGTAGAGGAAATTAATGCTAGTCACATTTGTTTTTATTTTCATCTTTTTTCAAAGCCTATAGGGAACCTGATTATTCATATCAGATGGCTTTGCGTTTCACCACAAAGTCTTGTATAGGAAGATTTAATGACCTGCTTTTTAGAGTCCTAAAGAAAATCTTGGATAATTTAATCTCTGATTTGTCATGCCATGTCATAGAACCATCATATAAATGCCATCTTGTTAAAGTTCCAGACCGTGGCCTCATAAATGAGCTATTTATAGCCTTTCAAGGTAAAACAAAAAAATTAACATTATTTTTATGAGTTTAGGCCTCAACCCTGATAGCTTACAAAATTATCATATGAACATGAGATATCTTATAAATAATATGTTGTAAACATTTTTTAAACAATATTATTCCCTGGTTGTGGTTTTAAAAACTAATATACTGCTGGGCACCACTGGCTCAAGCCTGTAATCCTGGCTTCTCAGGATATTTGACGATAATAGTTCAAAGCCTGTATACGCAAGAAAGTCTTGAATCAATTACCAAAAAGCTGAATATGGATCTGTGTCTCAAGTGGTAGAACACCAGTCTTGAACAGAAAAAGCTCAGAGACAGTGCCAAGGCCCTAAATTCAAGCCCAGTACTGGCACAAAAATAAATAAAAATAAACATACTAAGCCCAGTATGGCGGGGGGAGGAGGGTTCAAGCCTATAACTTTAAGGGAAGGGTAAGAATGTAGAGGAAGGAAATTTCAGGCCTTGTTAGGGAAATGTGACTTGGTTCATCTAACCTTAAGCATTAGGAGTGAAGGGGAACCTAGTGTTGATGCGGGTCATGAGGTTAGATGGAGGAAGAAAGGCTTGGGATCAGAGAGGCTCTGATTCTTTTTTTTTTTGGGGGGGGGTCTGGTCATGGGGCCTGAACTCTGGGCCTGGGCACTGTCCCTCAGATCTTCAGCTCAAGGCTAGCTCTCTACCACTCGAGCCACAGCGCCACTTCCGGCTTTTTTCTTTTTGCTTATGTGGTGCTGAGGAATAGAACCCAGGGCCTTGAGCATGCAAGGCAAGCGCTGTACCACTGAGCCACCTTCCCAGCCTGAGGCTCTGATTCTTGTCTCAGAAATCAACTCAGAGCCAAGAATATGGCTTAATCTTACAATCCTAGCTCTTTAGGAGGCAGAGATTGGGGAAATCACTGTTTGAAGCCAGCCTAGGCAAAAAGAAGTTTGGAAGACTCCATCTCAGCCAATGGCTGAGTATAATGGAATGAGCCTGTTATCCCAGCTATGGGGGGATAACAGGACTGGCACAGTGGCTGGTGTGGTCATAAATCGAAGCCCCACTTAAAAAATAACCAGTGCATAAAAGGGCTGGAAGTGTGGCTTCAGTGGCAAAGTACCTGCCTAGCACGTATGAAGCCTTGGATTCTAATCTCCAGCAGCACCACAAATAATAATATTAATTGTTTGCCTTCAAATACATATTGTTACTTATTTAGAAGTCAGTGTTATTTATGATTATAGCCTTTAACTATGCAGCTAATATTCCACTTACAACTTCTTGTAGAATTTTAAATGGTATATATGAGAATTTACAGACAGGAATAACCAAACCCAGTTTGCTTCCATTTAAAGGCTTGTAATTACTTCCATTAACCCCCAGATGGAGTAAATTCACAATGTATAAATTATTCAGATTGTGTACCTAAATTTACTATTAGGATTCATAGTTGGATTAAATGTATGTATGGATGCATACTGAATAAAGCTTTATTGAAATGTTTGGGACTTTTTAAAATTCTTTTTGAACCTATTGTATTTTCAACCTCCAGTTAATCCTTTTGCACCAGGGTGGAAAACTGCATGCAATGTATCTGTTGACTGTGAAGATATCACTAATCATAATATCCTCCAGGTGAGAATTTCATTGTAAGTGCCAAATACAATAAAACATTTCATAAATTTTTGTAAATATTTTATTTCAATAATTAAAATTTTCTTTTTTCACAACCTGTCTCTCTGTTGTGATTGTTTGTCAACAAATAAAAAGCATTTCTTAAGAATAAATTTCAATTCTCTCTGGCTCAGCTTCTTTACTCATAGTTGGTAATCTATTTGAGCCACACCTCCAAGCCAGCATTTTGCTGGTTAATTTGCTATTTAGTTGGAGATAGAGCCTCATGGACTTTTCTGCCCAGGCTGGCTTCAAACAACAATCCTCACATCTCAGCCTCCTGAATAGCTAGACAGGTGTGAGCCATTGGCACCCAGTTTAAGTTAAATATATAAATTATATATATATTCCTTAAGTATACATATATAGATATATACATATGTATTGTTTATATGTATATATATATATATATATATAGTGAAATTACTGGTTATTTTAGTCCATAGCCATACCACTCTGAATGCATTCAATTCTCATCTAATCTCACAAGCTAAGCAGGGTTGGGCCTGGTTAGATATTGCATGGGAGATTACTGGCTGTCTTAAAATGTATTATTTTGTAGTAGTACAACTGCAATATTATACAGAGTTCCCCAGATTAATATGTATTCTATTTATAACAGAATGACGGAACCCTGGTCTTTGTGTCCCAAGTGATGATTAAACAGCAGCCTGAAGAACAACCTCACAACCATTTCATCCTAGGTTAAATCAATAGTTCTTCAAAATTATATCTATACTAATAATAACAGCTGCTCTCTCCTCTGCCCTCTTCACTGGCTAAGTAAATAGTCTTGAAAAATCCTTTCACACTTCTGGTCTTGTTCCTGAGCCCATAACTTTATAATCTATACCTTTAAAGACATACCATGTTGTACATGGCTATGCATAGTACTAAGTTGATACTATTATTAAATCTCTGAAGGTAGAGCAAAATTCATGCATGATTTAGTTTTTAATGCTGATTAGAGAAAAGGCTTCCATTTTATTTGGCTCTTTTTCTTGAAGACTATATAGAAGTAGAAATAATGGGCCAGGTATTGTGATATATGCCTGTCATCCCGGCTCTTAAAAGGCTGAGGCAAAAGATCACAAATTCTGAATAAAAGTAGTGAGACCCCATCTCCAAAACAAAATAAAATGCTAGAGGTGTGACTCAAAGTGATAGAGTACTTGTCTAACAAGCCCAAAGCCCTGGGCTCAAACCCCAGACCTAAAAAAAAAGAAGAAGAAAGAAAGAAAACAAAAGGGCTGGGAGTATGGCTTAAGTGGTAGAGTATGTGTCTAACAATCATGAAGCCCTGATTTCAAACTCCACTTCTGCAAATAATAGTAATATTTAACTCTAGTTAACTAGATAACTCCAGTTATATACAATATGGAATAGACATGAGTAATTCAAACAAGTTTTTAATTTGTTTTTTCCTTAACCATTTTATATATGAATTGAGAGTAGTTGATAAGTTCAAGGCTAGACTAGTTTTAGCCTAATTTTTTGTTTTAACACACAACTTCTAGAGAATTTATGATGTATAAATTTTCACTATATTTCATTGCCTTTGACAAAGGAGGTAGAATTTGGTTGATAGTTTAGTAATCATACTTTTCTCTGGTATTTAAATCTTAGGCAAGAGATCGGATAGAAGAATTTTTTCGGAGCCAAGCAAACATTTTATCCCATCACATCAATAGAAGTGTACCTGCTATGCATTTTGTGGACCATAGTTTTCAGGTTGTACGTATGGATAGCTGTCGACCAGGCTTTGGAAAAAATGAAGGCCTACATAGCAACTGTGCTAGCTGTTGTGGTAATTATCAAATATAAAAATCTAGATTATATAATCACTTGGGATAATTTTTTCACTGATCTACAAAATATATTTGGCTAAAGAGATGTAAAAAAATTCTAAGCTTAAATATTATCTTATTGTATATTTAGTCTTAGTAAAGTGCACTCTTTTTTTTTAAGGTTTTTTGTTTGTTGGTTTATTGGTTTGTTTTTTGTTGGTCATGGGGCTTGAACTCTGGGCTTGATTGCTGTCCCTGCACTCTTCAGCTCAAGGCAAGCGCTCTACCACTTGAGCCACAGTGCCATTTCCGGTTTTCAAGTGGTTTACTGGAGATAAGAGTCTCACATCACAGACTTTCCTGCCCGGACTGGCTTTGAACAGTGATCCTCAGATCTCAGCTTCCTGAGTAGCTAGGATTACAGGCGTGAGCCACCAGCATCAGGCTTGCACTTTTATAAAACATTCTTACAGTGTTCTACTTAAGCTTCTATACTATGAAGGAAAACAGAATGGTCTTACCTGTAAAACATCAAAATGAGGGGCTGGGAATGTGGCTTAGTGGTAGAGTACTTGGCTAACATGCCCTGGGTTTGATTCCTCAGTATCACATACACAGAAAAAACCAGAAGTGGTGCTGTGGCCCAAGTGGTAGAGTGCTAGCCTTGAGCAAAAGAAGCTCAGAGATAGTTCCCAAGCCTCAGACTGGCAAAATATATGTGTGTGTGTGTGTGTGTGTGTGTGTGTGTGTCTCAAAATGAGGAAATAAGTACTAGAAAACTGGAAATATGTGCCACTATAGAAGAGATGGCAACAGGCTTATATTAAAGTAAAAAAATAGGATTCTAATGTATATATGTAGGTATGTATGTATGGAGTTTTTAGGGTTTGAACTCAGGGCTTCACGCTTACTAGGCAGATGTTCTACCACTGAGCCACACCCCTAGTTCTTATTTCTTCCTTTAAAGATCATCAAATTATAAAGCTTGAAATTCATATATAATCTTCTACAACTTAGTTGGCTTAATAGGTATAGGTAAAAGTATAGAAATGGTATGATATTGAAGACATTTATATTATTGATATGAGTACTTTTAAATTATAATAATGTGTTCTATGTGTTTTCCTTTGCAGTGGTTTGTAGCCCTGGGACTTTTAGTCCCGATGTTGATGTAACATGTCAGATTTGCATTTCTGTCCATTCCTATGGAGCTAAATCTTGCCCATAAACAACAGACGAAACTCAGCAGTGTGAAGACTAGAGGTGAAAGCATTGCTACCTGCTTGTAGAGGTAGGGGACATAAGACGATTCAGTCACATCCTAGAGCAGCATCACAGATAACTCCATAAAATAGAACCAATAAGACCAAAACATTGGAAGGCAAACATTTTTAGAAACTTCTCAAAACTCATTAACATGACAAGAGTTAAATGCTAAGAAGGCATTTGACCCAATATCTCCAGTGTACAAAGGAAAATTTTAAGTATTGGTGGATGATTTTTTGATGAAATATGTTTTACTGTACACAAACTGAATCTTGTTTTGTACCTAAGACTATATTAAGGTCACGAAGAGTAGCAAAGCATACTATAATAAAAAGTTTGTATTTTCCGTATGTTAACTTGTTTGAAATCACTCTTATGTAAAGTTATGTATATTACCTTTGTAATTAGACTCCAAAATATCTAGTTCCTGTGCTTTTATTTTTAAATAATAGAATTATGTTTTTTAGTATAGGCTTAGATTTACAGAGCAATCAAGCAGGTAATACATAGACTTGTATGCAGTTGTCCTATACCCTCATCCCTCCCTACTTTTCCCCTAGTATGAACATACTACATTCATTGTGGCATATTTTTCCCAATTAATGAACCAATACTGATACTTATTATTAACTACAGTCTCAGGTCTACATTAAAGTTTTATTCTTTGTGTTTTAGGTATTGGCAAATGCATAATGACATGTCCGCCATTACAGTTTCATACAGAATAGACCCACCACCCAAAAATTCTATCTCACATACTCATCCCTCCCTCCGAGTCCCTGAGTCCCTGGTTTCCACTGTCTTGATAGTTTTGCCTTTTTCAAAATGTCATAGTTGGAATTATGAAGTGTATAGACTTTGCAGAGTGGCTTCTTTCACTTAGCAAATATACCTTTCAGGTTTCTGTATGTCTTTCCATGACTTTAGTAGCTTATTATATCATAGTGTATTTATCCATTCACCCATTACAGAAATCTTGGTTGCTTCCCATCTTGGGCAACTATGAATAAAGCTGCTATGAACATTTGTGTGCAGGTTTTTGTGTGAATGTAGTTTTTAGCTGAACTAGTACCTAGGAATGTGAATACTGGGTCATATAGCCTGCCAGACTGTCTCCCAAAGTGGTTCACCGTTTTTGCATTCCCACTATCACTAAGTGTCCTTGTTCCTCTTCTCCAGCATTTGGTATTAACGGGTTTTATATTTAGGCCATTCTAATATGGGAATAGTGGTACTTCACTGTTGGATTAATTTCCAAATTCCCTAATGACATCTAATACTGAGCATCTTTTAATATGGCTATTTGCCATCTGTTTATCTTTTTTAGTGAAGTGTCTCTTTAGACTTTTTTCCTGTTTTTAAATTGGATTATTTATCCTCTTAGTGTGGTTCTAACACACATGTTTTGTTTTTATTTACATATTTACAAAGATTTTTTTTACCATTCTATAGTTTGTCTCTTCATTCCTTTAGCACTGTCTTTCACGGGGCAGTTTTAATTTTTGTTTTCATTTTCATATAATGCTGAGGAAGTGCTCTGCCCCTGAGTAACAGCCTCAGTTTTTCATTTTAATTAATTTCCTTATATTTTCTTTCACAGATTGTCCTTTTGGTGTCATATCTGAAAATTCATCACCAGATTTATAGAGTTGCAGAGTTTTCTATTTTTTATTTGGGTCTTAGTTTTTTTGGCTAAGCTTTAACTCGTTATGTAGTCCAAGCTGACCTCAAACTCATAGTCATCCTCCCCACCCCCATCCCTGAGTGCTGGAATTACAGGTGTGTACTACCACACCTGGCTGGTACTATGTTCTCAACTGTAAATTCCAAGTGTTCATTGCTGGTTTATAGGGAAAGAATGGACTTTTATGGATCAATCTCGTATCCTATAACCTGACTGTAATTACATATTCCAGAAATTTTTTCTCAGTTCTTTGGGATGTTCTATATAAGCAAACATGTCATCTATGAAAATGTACTTCTTAATCTGTATATATTTTCTTATTGTATTAGCTAGACTGCCTCTCAACCCTTGTACAGTGTTGAAACAGGAAAAATGAAAGAAGGCACTCCTACCTAATGTTCCAGATCTTAAAAAGAACACATCCAATATCTTACTATTAAGCGTGATGCTACCTGTAGGCTTTTTGTAGACTTTCTTTGTCAAATTAAGAAATCTCCTTTATTCCTGGTTTCTGAGAGTTTCTATCGTGAGCAGATAATAGATTTCGTTAAATACTTTCTCTATTTGTTGGCTTTCTTTTACCTATCAATGTGATGGATTACATTACATTAATTTTCAAATGTTGGATTAGCCTTGAATATATGGAATAAATCCTTCCTGGTCATTGTATTTAAATATTTTTATACATTGTTGGATCTAATTAACTAATATTCTGTTAAGAATTCTTGCATTTGCTGGTTCATGCCTGTAATTTCATCTGCTCAGGATATGGAGATCAGGATTGCAGGCCAAAGTTATACCAGTCCAAATATTAGCAACACCCTATCTCAACAAACAACTTGGCCAGGTGCCAGTGGCTCATGCCTGTAATCCTAGCTACTAAGGAGACTGAGATCTGAGGATCACGGTTCAAAGCCAGTCTGAGCACAAAAATTTGTGACACTCTTATCTCTAATTAACCACCAGAAAACCAGAAGTGGTGCTGTGGCTCAGTAGTAGAACGCTAGCCTTGAGCTGAAGAATTCAGGGACAGTGCCCAGGCCCAGAGTTCTCTGTCTCTCTCTCTCTCTCTCTCTGTCTCTCTCTCTCTTTGCCTCTGTCTCTCTCTGTCTCTCTCTGTCTCTCTCTGTCTCTCTCTCTCTCTCTCTCACACACACACACACACACAAAACAAAACAAAACAAAAAAAACCTTGAGCATGGTGGCATGTATTTGTAATCCCAGCCACATTGGAGACATAGGTAGGAGGATTTTCAGCAGAGGCTAGTCTTGGCCAAAAGGATAAAACTCTACCTAAAAAATAATTTAAAGCAAAAAGGACTGGGGGCTTACGTGATAGAGTACTTGCCTTGGAATCAATCCCCAGTGACACCAGGAAAATAATGATAATGTTTACATTCAAGATTATGAAACATATTGGGATGCAGTTTTACTTCCTGTAATGGCTCTTATGATTTTGAGTAAAAGTCTCACTATATAAGTGGAGACTGACCTTGAAATCTAGAGATTCTCCTGCCTTTGCTTCCCATGTGCTGGGATTATAGATGTGTAAACAACACCCAGCTTCCTTTAATGGTAACATAATGCTAGCCTCATTGGGTAAATTAGAAAATGCTCCCTTGACTTCTTTTTCTAAAAAGTTGCCAGGTGCCAATGGCTCATGCCTATAATCCTAGCTACTCAGGACGCTGAGATCTGAGAATCATAGTGGAGGCCAGCCCAGGCAAGAAGATCCTTCCATGAGGTTCTTATCTCTAATAAACAACTCAGAAAAAGCCGAAAGTAGTGTGTGTTTCAAGTGGTAGAGTGCTGGCCTTGAGCACAAAGAGGCTCAGGGACAGAGTATAGGCCCTGAGTTCAAGCCCCAGGACCATCAAAAAAATAAAAAAAGTTGATTGCAGACTGGGAATGTGGCTTAGTGGTAGAGTGCTTGCCTAGAATGCATGAAGCCCTGGGTTCAATTCCTCAGTACCACATAAGCAGAAAAAGCCAGAAGTGGCGCTGTGGCTCAAGTGGTAGAGTAGTAGCCTTGAGTGAAAGAAGCTCAGGGACAGTGCCCAGGCCCTGAGTTCAAGCCTCAGGACTGGCAATTAAAAAAAAAATTGATTGCAGAGAATTAAATGGTTGGTGAAATTCACCATGAAGATAACCTCAACCTAATAAAAAATATGTGCTGATACTACTTTAAACATAACAAATTCACTGAAGAAAGTCATTTCTGTTGAAAAGATAGCCATTTCTTTTATGGTCATGATACCTACTGAAGTGGATTTTTTTTGTGGGGGGGGGTCCAGTTATGGGGCCTGAACTCTGGGCCTGGGCGCTGTCCCTCAGCTCTTCAGCTCAAGGCTAGCGCTCTACCATTTGAGCCACAGCGCCACTTCTGTCTTGTTTTTGCGGTGCTGAGGAATCGAACCCAGGGCCTCATGCATGCAAGGCAAGCGCTCTACCACTGAGCCACCTTCCCAGCCCCATGAAGTGGATTTTTTTTTTTAATGCTAGTCCTAGGGCTTGAACAGGGCTTTGGCATTGTCCCCGAGCTTTTGTGCTCAAGGCTAGTGCTCTACCACTCTGAGCTATAGCTCTACTTCCAACTTTTTGGTGGTTTATTGGAGATAAGAGTCTCAGAGACTTTACTGCACTGGCTTTGAGCCACTATCCTCAGAGCTCAGCCTCCTGAGTAACTAGGATTACAGACATGAGCCACTGTGCCAGGCTGAATCATGTTTTTTATTGTCTTTCATAAGCATTTTCTAACTAAAACATTACAGTAATGTTCATAGTTGTTCTAGTATAATGAATACATAATCTTGCTGTGGATAGACTTTTCTCAGGAAACATCTTTTAAGTATTTCTTTCTTTTTCGTAATGCCTTTGCAAAGATTTCTACTTGGGTTGTAGCTGCTGAGCCATGAAAACTTAAAAAACAAACAATTCTTTCAGACTTAAAATTATCTGTACAAAACATATCTGTTATACAACAAAGTTTATTTTTACAAAACAATGGCAGTAGCAGACTTAGTTCAGATGATACATTTAGTATAATTTTCCTGGTCATATTGAAATATTATTGAAGTAAAAGAAAATCTCTAGGGCCAGGCACTGGTGGCTCTTGCCTGTAATTCTAGCTAGTCAGGAGACAGAGATTCGAGGATCATAGTTCAAATCCAGCCTGTGCAAGGAAGTTTGTAAGATTTTTTTTTTGGGGTCCGGTTGTGGGGCCTGAACTCTGGGCCTGGGCGCTGTCCCTCAGCTCTTCAGCTCAAGGCTAGCGCTCT